GGTCCCCGCGAACCGGTTGGTCGGCGAACCCGGAAGGAAGTAACTTCCGGGAACGGCAAAGGGCCCATCCGCCTGCCCGCAGTCCTTACCGGTCTTTGAAGGCTTCTGCGCTTCCACGCAGGCGCATGGCACATACAGCGCCTGCGCGAGTCTCCGCGAGCAGCTGGATGGCACATACAAGTCTCCGCGAGCAGCTGGAGCATCGCGCAGGCGCTAAGACGCATGCGTGAACTGCGCGCGTGCACGAGGACGCCACTGGCCCCGTTCCAACCAAACCGGTTGGAACGGGATTAGCAACCCACCCCTGGCTTAAACAGTATAATGGTATCTCTCCTGCTGCTTGAAATTATATTTGGGGAAAAGATTGAGAGTCCAGTGGGTAACTTTCTCCTCTTTGCTTCCATTCCGGTTGTCTTCCCACACATGGCTACTGATTAAATTATAAATATGGCATCATGTCTAAATCAGATCAACTCTTGTTAGCATAGTGATTAAAACTGTGTTTTGAAACTGCCTTGCAAATCTTTCTTTGGAAATAAACACTAACCCAAGTCTACCCATCTGAATGTGACACCTCCCCCCCAAAAAAAATCACTAAAAGAGTTCAGATTAATTGGTGCATTATAAGAGGACAGAAAAATGCAGGTCATGTTGAGGATTACCTGTAGAGTAGCAAATTTAGGAATTATGGCAAAAAGTTAGAACTGTGAGAATGATATAAATAAAACAGAAGATGTTCTCTGTAATTGTGTAGGAACACTTTAGTTCCCTATTCCAGTTTTGCGATTCTTCTGTTATTTTCTCCCCTTGTATCTCATTTTTCACAATAATAAAAGAACAAATAACTTCATACCGTACTTAAAATTCCCATTAAAAGAATCTTCTCAGTAAGGACACAAGAGAATTGTGGCCATAAAAAGTTTATTGCATCTCTGTGCGTCTTTACTCTTGGTGTTTTTAAAGTTAGATTCTAAGATTAATTAAGCAAAAAGAAATTGGTGGTTGTTCATCTGAGTAGACATGAACAGCGCTGGGTGTTTATGATACATTATTTGTCTTAGTTTATGTGTAGTTTAGGTGGCTCAGTGGCTAAGACGCTGAGCTTGTCGATCAGAAAGGTTGGCAGTTTGGCGGTTCAAATCCTTAGCACTGCGTAACGGAGTGAGCTCCGGTTACTTGACCCAACTTCTGCCAACCTTAGAACCGAGGTGGCGCAGTGGGTAGAGTGCAGTACTGCAGGCCACTTCAGCTGACTGCTGTCTGCAGTTAAGCGGTTCAAATCTCA